TTCTTTCATATTCTGGTTCTGTGGGTGCAGCCCTTATAATTTGGGTTGCATGTGGAATCTTCTCTATGTTAGGTGCGCTCTGTATGGCTGAGTTGGGAACTACCATTCCCAAGTTCGGCGCAGAATACATCTACATATATGAAGCGTTTGGCGCGTTACCGGCGTTTCTGTTTCTGTGGGTGTTGATGGTCATATTGAAACCGACTACCCAAGCCATTATTATGCTAATATTTGCTGAATACATAGTTTATCCTGTATTCATTGAATGTGACGAAACGCCACTGCTGACTAAAAGACTCTTAGCTGTAGCAGGTATACGTAAGTGACCTGATAAGTTATTAGAATGTTCATCGCGTTCCACAATTGTGCTAACAAAAATTAACTATGATGTTTTCATCTTAATTTTATTTATTTATTTATTTATTTATTTATTTATTTATTTATTTATTTATTTATTTATTTATTTATTTATTTATTTATTTATTTATTTATTTATTTATTTATTTATTTATTTATTTATTTGTTTATTTATAGTTTTTCTAACTTTCGTGAATATTGTTAGCGTACGTTGGAGTGCTCGTCTGACCAACATTTTATCATATTCAAAGTTGCTGGCCACCTTCATAATCATTATCACTGGAGTGTATTACTTGGCAAAAGGTGAGATCAGCTATATCACACCACAGTAAATTTTGAACGAAACATTTAACAGAACTGATACACATACATTAATAACAACTAACTATACAGGTAACAGATAAATAACACATATTAATAACAACTATTAAGGCTGCATCGAGGGAAATACCAACATATTATTTTGAATTCAACGCATTCTCTAAATCTTAGACTTACTAAATAAATATGTAAATATGTAAATATAACACTATCAATATGTTGCGCAATTAACACAAATGAATCTTAACGTTTGTACTTGTACAGGATACACGGACAATTTTGAGGACAGTCTTGCAGGAACCACCAAGTCAGTAGGTGACATTGCATTGGCGATGTATTCTGGTTTATGGGCCTATTCCGGATGGTAAGTCAATCGATTGATCACAAAGAATTGATATAATATTGATAATTACCTGTAACAGGTCGAACGACTGAAGCATTTTCTGCTCAATGAGGTACTTTGCATAAATAGGGTCAGTCCGACCGTAGTCGCCGCATTGTGTACGCCATTCCAGGATTTGTTGACCGAATGTCAAATGATCATTTAACTGGAAATATGTTATGTTGCGTTTTACTTAGGTCCAAATGACCCCCAGTACAGTGTGATGTCTGTGTGTGTTCACGCTTTATTTGTTAACAGTATGGCTTCTGAAATGTTAGACGGTCTCCCATAGCTAGTTTATATAATAAGATTTGTTACCAGTGGTCTAAAAGTTTAGTTCACCTGTGATTTGCGTCAACTGTAACATTGTAATTGTACATTACTTAGGCCTATTGTGTGATGAATACTTAAACTGAACAACAGGACTTTGCTAAAGTGGTTCCATACATGGTGGTCACACTGCGTGTTGTGGCTTGCGTGTGGTGGCTTGTTTCGTGTGTCATTTTAGGAGTTGTTGACGTAGTGAAATGCCGTCATAATTGTATGCCTCGTGTCATATTTTAACTGAACGTGTTGTTTTATACGTTTTATTTCGGTCTAAGGGGCAGAGTGCAGTGTGCTGTTTTGCTCTATGTGTACGTGCGGCTTGTGTAAACGTCATGCCTCTGAAATGTCAGACGGTCGCACGTGGCATGTTTATACCTACCAAAACCATAAAAATGACAGTATTTTGGAATGAATTATAGAATATTAAAACGTACCATATGAAGTGGCAAGAGAGATATTGCAATGCAGCCTTATAGCGAAATGTTTGTTGTACACGGTATAATAATACAACTATTGATTCCTATCATTATCAATATACAAAATTGTCGACTCTCATTACGTACTTTCTTAGCCTGTTCTCGCCTCCGTCAACATTGCACCCTTGGAAAGGCCAACATTTCTTAAATTATAATATCTCATCTACATTATATTTTTCACAAGGGGTGTTCTCAATAATGTTACGGAAGAAATGAAGAATATTCCAAGGTACATTTCTTTTTCAAAAAGTGTTATTTTACTAAATAATAAGGTTTTGTTTACCAAGCAATATAGGTATTCATGTGTTTCGTTCGAATTTTTAGAACACTCGGACTGTCTTTGTTTTTTAGTTCGTTGTTTTTTACTCCTAAAGTGAAAGTCATCGTTAATAAATACAAAATAACTCAGAAATTATAATTTGGAGTTTTTTAGTCTGTATTTTTGAATTGTTCACACAAACCGTATAGACAATGACGTATAGACTTTTTCGCATGTAAACACACCATCTACAGGCATTACCTTAGAATGAATAATTTATATAATTTGTTTGCTGAAGAAAAGAGAAATAACTCATATATATTAACTGGTTATTATTCTTGTTTCCTCAATAATAGAAACCTACCGTTGGCTATTGTCTTAGCCGTATCTATTGTAACTTGCATTTATCTATTGACAAATGTTGCATATTTCGCCGTACTTTCCCCTCAAGAATTGCTGAGAGCAGATGCAGTAGCTGTGGTATGTTGTAGTTGTATTCTTGAACTCATAATTGGTAATTTTAGTATTATTCATAAAATGGAACATTTATACAACACGTAACTGGTTGTTTGAAAGCTTAACATTATTATTATTATCAGAGGTACATAACTTGGGGTTTGCAACGCGCGTAGTACTGTACGGTGACATCATGTCAAGATCCCATTCAAGTCTCATCTCGTAGATAGCGAAACTGATGCTACGATCTTCTGACATGACATAGGCGGTTTGTAATAAAACAATAAAACATGTATTACCACATTCATAGTGAAAAAATATAATACATCGAAAATGTACAGAAAATATAGTTATCGTAATCCTCATATCGTGAGCAGCTTTTTTGATCCACCTGGACATCCCAGTATCTTACTTACCTCGGGCATGCGCATTCGCATTTTTCTGAGTTGGAACACTTATGCGAGAGCGAGATTGAAATGGGATCTTGGTATTATGTCACCGCAGTTGCAAACCCCAAGTAATGTACCTCTGTTATTATGTATTAAACACAATATATCACTTCTATATGTTTTGGCTTCAAACGAATATGACTTTAAAGTGTGCAAGGAATGATGTCACTCGCAGCATCTTGTATCTGTCAATATAAATGCTATTTTCTGAATGAACTGTATTTTTATAGGCGTTACTTACATCATTTTACTTGAAATGATATATCTACGCAATTTTGACTTCACAAATTAGTTTTCACCCTAGTGCATTGAAATGTTAAAATTTTCGCTTATATTCACAGACGTTTGCTCAAAAGACTCTCGGTGTGATGGCGTGGATAATGCCGTTATTTGTTGCGTTGTCTACACTGGGTGCAGGAAATGCATCAATCTTTACTGCCGGGAGGTTTGTTTTTTTAATATTGGCTATATAATGTACCTGAATGTTCCCATGGTATAAAGAACTGAATTTAAAAATTGAGGAAGTATATGTTAACGTATAACTGAATTTAATTATGTGATTTTAGGGTTTATTTTTCTGGTGCAAGAGAAGGTCAATTGCCAGATGTTGTTGCTATGATACACATAAGAAGACGTACGCCAGTTCCAGCCATTCTTATAAATGTAAGAATATGTAAAAAAAATATATGATATAGTGAATGGTAGGCACATGTATTGAACGAAATGTGAGCCCTGATATAATGCATTTATTTCATGTATCACGGTAGTTTAATGTAATAAACAGTGTAAGAATTGTCTATATATCTATATATACACATTGGACATCATATTTCATATGGAACAAATGAATGAGTCTAAATTACCAAAAAGTTAGAACATTGTATTTACTGTTTGAATGCCCTAATTTATGCATTTACAAGCCATTCTGCAAGTGAGTAATTAATGGATACACCTCATCGTCTGCTCATATATAATTTTTGACAACAATAAGTAACTATGTTACCAATGCATTCCCCAAACCGCAAATATCGCAACCACTAACTAACGGTAACCACTGATCATGAATGGCGATCTTTCATGCAAATGAATATCGAATGCGACCTCACAAACTACGATCTGTGCGTTAGTTTTTAGCCTTTAGAAGAATATCGAATATTCGTTTAAATAATCTGATATTGTAGTGGGACACACGAGATATCCTCTGTGTATACATAGTCTTTATTTTTATTCATAACTGCATTATTCATCAATCTTTGACTAAAATATAAAGGGGAAACATTGAACACAGTAACATTTCATACAAAAGTGCATACCAGTTAAAATGAAAATACATACTCATACAAACAGTGTGCTATGGCTAAAACAAAAAACAAAACAATTGTATTTTTTGCATATTCTTTTTTAGTGTGTGGTTGCTCTGATTATGGTGCAGATCACCGACATAGACACACTTACAACCTACTTTAGTTTTATAAATTGGTTGTCAACAGGGGTTGCAGTAGCTGGTCTTATAACCCTACGCTGGACGAAACCTAATCTTCCCCGTCCTATCAAGGTATCAACGTGATATTTAATACACTTATAACAAAAATGTAAATGAAAATCTGTCCTTAAATAGTCTTCGTATATATTGAATACATATGTAAAACTATTTGTAATATCTGATTATGGGACATTTTTTTTAATTCGCAGCTACCTCTATTTCTCCCCGCTTTGTTTGTCGTCATGTCTTTGTTCCTGGTAATAGTGCCTTTCTACACGCGACCGATTGTGTCAAGTATTGGTGTGGGTCTAACGCTCACTGGTGTTCCACTTTACTTTTTGGGTGTAGTCTATAAAAGAAAAAGGATGCGACTCTTGTCAAATTTACTTGGTAAGTGAAAGTATCGCTGGTTTTATATTTATATTCGCTTTTTATTCTGCCAGATTTAATTCACCAAATATGATAGCTTTTGTTTTCTCTTCTACAGAATCAATTACTTGGTTGTCTCAGGTATTTTTGGAAGTTTCAATCACAGACAAACAACCATGAGGATACGTAATCATGTGAGCGAGTAGTTACACACACAACACCATAAACAAAGTACTTAGCACATAAATTAATGATGGTGTCGGTCGTACGAATTGTAATGCTAATATGCAATATATATAGAACATTATTCCTTATGTACCACTTCCAGTGAAATTAATAGTATAGACTGATACACATTCATAACCCATGTATCATAGACAATTAGGCTGCAGTATTATTTGTTTTTTGTGAAACAAGCAATTTGACATTTTTGAGATATTCTACCCCGATTTCCTATGGGACATTGGTGATCTAATTGTGCCGTGGTCTCATTTTTAGATCAGTAGTCCTAGACATTCACCAAGGTGTTGTTTTAAATAGTTGTCTGTAAAGACCGCTGATAAAATTACTTCATAGTTAGTAAAATCATTTATCCATGGCGATGACGTCTCGGTAAAAGGGTGTACCTGTTTACAAATAAGATATGAAACCTTATAACAATCTTTGGGCACGCTAACGCAATTTATGATTCTGATTATTCATGGACAGACATAAGTAATAAGTGAATTATACAAGTATGCGAAAACCGTTATCAAGTGGTCAATGATGTATTTCACATATTTTTTTTTGCGTATATCACACAAGACTGAAGTCGATTATAATTTGTGGTTAGATAGTTCGCTCCTGTCTGTGTATTACGAGGTCATTCACTCATCGAAAAGAATGTACCAAAGGGCAGGTTGGTTCAAAATCAGCAATATGACGTTTTTATCTTGTTAATGGCTCGATGAATACGAATACTTAGTATGTTCAAGACATGCAACGGAGGAGAGTCAAGAATAAATGGCCCTGTTTTTGTTAAATTGATGTGTATCACCTGTGTGTGTTTATCTTTTACTTCAGTTCAAAGCTATGTGTTCGGGTTGACGTGACATGTGTGAGAAGAAGTTGCCAGACAAATACATTTTGATAAATTTTGAGATGCTGATGTTGCGTAATTTCTACGCAAAGTATACCTCTTCGCCAAATTACGGGATACAAATTGCAGTAACGAGTGAGGTGTGATCAGGGAGGGATAATTGCCAGACAAATTGTTTATGTTAAATTTTGTAATGCTTATTTGGAAAATGAAAATGATACACGTGTTCAAGGGTGCATTTATCTTGAACGCCAGTTTAAGTTTAAAATGCTCAACAAATTACTATCCAAAAAGGTAAGAAAGTAAGGGGTGACGTGTAATGCGGAGGAAAGAAATTGTGCGTCGGACAGAGGGGCATTTATTTGAAATTTGCATAGGCAATTCTGAATGAGTTTATGGCGTAAAAAACATGCCTCTTACTGCATTATATTGTAGTCAAGTCAAACATAGCATAATATAGTAATCATGATTTTGGTGTAAAGACTACAGATGTATACCTCGGTTACCTATACAACCATAATTGTTCACCAAATCTGTTCAATCGATATCAAAGCCATTAAACCAAACCGGGTTTATGACGTCATAAACATCGTAGTTAAGTCTACACAGTGGGTACTGACTCCAATATGATCATGTTCTAGTTACCATTCTGATGGTGATACAGATAATATACTATCACCATATGATATTGTCTTTCTTCTATTGAAGAATGATATATATGATGGTATTATTAAACTGACATGTGAATAGGCAATAAAGGCTGCAGATATTGCAAAGTCCCTCGATAATTGCCTACCAGGTGCGAGAGTTAGGTGTATGTAACTATCGTCCGCTCACTGTAATGGAAAGCTGAAGTAGGAATTGGCGAAGTTCACTAAAGTAGACATGGCTTATGCCTTGGTGTGTTTTTTTTGGGGGGGACAATGTAGATGATTGTGAAGGGAGTTATGAAACAATGAGTGGTGATGCCAGACCTTGGTAGTGAGAGGAAGTGTGTGTAGAAGTAAATCCATGGACTTGACTAAAATTTGCCAATGTCAACAACACTGGCCTACAGTTTACAGTGGGTATGTGACATTACTCTTCCCAGATCGACGAACTGTTTGTACCAACTATACCACGGCACTGACACGCATGCGCTGTGGAATACGTAGGAACGAGCTGAAAGATACACACAGCGTACACAATATGCAAATAACTTTAATATGGTCTAAATATTTCGAAACTATAAAGCGCCAACAGTGGCTGTTCCTGGCTCTATGCGTCAAGATACTAACCTCAACCAAAAGGGACCAGCCATGCCATCACATCGCCTCACATTATTGGTAGTTCATACATGAATGTAAAAAGTGAAGGCTGGAAATTTATCAAGGTAAGCATGTTTATCCTGGCAACAACTTTTTTCAAGCTGATTTATGTATGGACATTACTTAAATCACACATGTTTACTGCGAATTAATATGTACAGGCACATAATACAGTTCTGTGAATTAGTTATTTAGATGAGCTACTTCATAATTTATGTCATAGAGCAATTATTCGAGAGGTATGTTTTTGTGTCATTTATATCTTTAAACAATAAGACAGAACAAAACTGTCATCTGACCATTTTTCAACAAATTGGTTTCATGAATCATTGCAACTACTACGCAACTATTGAAGCTGAAGATAAGAAATTCTTAAAAGATTGAGAAGAAGCTTTTCTTCTGTTAAGCTTTACAGTATGATCAAATATATTTTGTTTTAAAGTACTTTTGTTAATTAGTAAGTAATTGTCATTTTACTTTAACATTTTTTCATATTTTAATCATGGCAGATGTAAATAAAGTAAATATCAACTTTCAAATCTGTTTTTACAGGTAGATGGTTATGAAGATTTTGTGGACTCTGGCACCCAAGCAATTAAGCACCCTATCCACGTGGTAATTATTTAGCCCGTTGCTGGAAACACAATATATAATATTTTTATTTAACCTAAAAATGACATGGTCTGTTCATTCATTTGGTATGACACCAAATGATATTAATGGAATCAACTGCCTCTTCGTGTTATAGACAATCAATCCCCACCTGTAGATCTTGTAAACATGTTCAATGGCTGATTCAAAAATGACAAGTGACATCCAAATTGTCACTGAAACATAAGTTTCACTGCAAAGAGATAAGTGACAACCATGAGGTGATGTTGTGCTGCGAAGAGATGGCCACCATATGAAAATTTGTGCTTACAACTGGTTTTTAATCCGTGTCGAAAACGTGCACAGAATGGTCGTTTTGTGCACGTTTTCGACACGGCTTATCAGCTACCTCAAGTGCCAAATCCATG